TCCATGGGATTGAGGAGGGAAAATCTTTTAGGTGGCACAAAAACCCTGTCAGCATACATAACCTATTCCAGAACAATATGTACCGGAAAGGCCTGAGTACTTTGTGGTGGTTTTAATGAGCCAAAAGAATTGTAAATCACCTCAATTACATCCACTGGGGGAAGCTTGAAACCTGAACAGACCATACCAGTAAGGCCCTGAACTAATAACTTTTGTTTCCCAATCACCTCTTCATCCTCAGGTTCCACCCACTCTTGTTCAAGGACTGGCGGATCCAAGGATGGGGATCTCTCCGGCTTTTACACCCTTGAGCCACTGATGCAACCATCCCTGCAATTGTGTCTTCTAACCCAGCTAAGGCTTATACAAGATGATCCTTGGTTAGATACACTGAAGTGGACGCGCCAGTAGTAGCCACAATACCGAACAAAGGCAGCGGCTCATGTTGACCTGTTTCCCCTGGCCTTTCAGGAAAAGATATCACAGAGGAACTCCTGTGGCAGGGCACAGTGGCTGGGGAAGCACAGTGGCTAAATGGTTAGCACTTCCGCAGAACTAGGGTCGTAGGTTCAAATCCAAACCACGGCACCACCTGTCTGGAGTTTGCATGTTCTCCCTGTGCCTGCGTGGGTTTCCTCTGGGTACTCCAAAGACATGCTGGTAGGTTAATTGGATCCGGTCTAAATTGGCCCTAGTATGTGTATGTATGAATGTAAGTTAGGGACATTAGGTTGTACACCCCTTGAGGGCTAGGGACTGATGTCAATGTGCAATATATATGTAAAGTACTGTGTAAACTGATAGCGCAATACAAGTACCTGTAACAATAATAACTAGGCTCCTCAGGACCTAGCAGCACTGCATTTGTACCCATTCCCACTGTGCCTCACCCCTACGCTTTCTGGAAGACATTACTCCACCAGCGTCTCAAGACCAGTGTAAGAATATTGAATAACACAGAGCCCAGGATACAGCAATGCTAGCAGATTTAATAACACACAATGCATTCTGCTGAACAGAGGGCAACATAAAACACAACCCTGTTGCCTGACAGGCCAAACCCCCAGGGAAGTAGTCACGTGTCCTTAGTATAACCTGCCCTGGGTATTGCCCATCCCACAATAGCTGAGCAGTAATAGCGGCAGCCCATGTGTGCCCAGGAAGCATCTCACATAAATAATATAACCAACCTCCTCTTCCTTAAGCTACTGCGCATGTCCCACGGTCGTACAGCCGAGCACATGCACAGTAACCTAAGTAAATAAAATATTACAGGTAGGCATAGGCAGCGAGAACCGGAAACCCCGGGGATTCTTCTTATCTAGTGAGGTTCGGGTACCATCTATTTTGGCTAACAGCTTTTTTGAATGGATCCGACTGAAGCCCTTGACTCTCAGCAGAACCATTCTGGACCTCCAAGTATGCTCCCAGAGCACATGCAGCACATGTCAGTGACCATTCACCTTACAGACACTGGTGAAAATACTGAAGTAATTCCTATTTAGCAGGGGTTATATAGGGGAGGACTTGCTGTTTGATTGGTCGGACCCGTGTCCATTCATCTATAGGTGGCATATAACCCACATAGTAATTAACTTAGCCTGCTCTGTGTGCCATGATGTACGATAAAGAAAGTGAAAAATCTTGCACAATAATTCTACTTTTCAATTGTGATCAGAAGTGATCCACCAGAAGAAAGCCTCCACCAACTCCCAAAGAGCAAACACTCACCTCCACTAATTGACTTCCACTACAAAAGGTCAAACTTACATTTTAGTCAGGAACCAGGAGTTGCTGTCTTCCCTAAATCAGCCTTTTTGAGATATGGGTTTGATGTTTTAGATTATTATTTTATAATTATTTTATGAGTAAAATGTACTGTGCTATTAGTTTATTTAGCATGTTCCACCTGCTGACAATTCAGGGGAGGACAAGTCTATCCAATGATGGATACTTATACGAAGCAGGAAAAAATGGCCACACAAGTGTTAAACAGTCACACCTTGATGGTGAGAAGGCAACAGGTTTGGAGATCCAAAGGACACCAGGTGAACCAATGGTCAATAATGACACCCTGAGTGCCATCCATGGGAGAGTTTGCAAACCTTCCCAGAGGAGGTCCATCACAGGTGTGGAGACACTCCAGACAGAGCAGCATTCTCAGAATGACAAGAAGGTATAACACTCTCCCCAATCAAACTGCAAAACAGCATCTTAAACTTCCAGATTTAAAAGGATCATCTGGAGGTCTCTCCTTGAGTACCGCAAGAAGGGGAAATTTCTTGACAGATAAGGAAGAGAGCACAAATCCACCATATGGGGATCCCTTTAATGAGGGAATAAACTGAACCCCTACACCTGACAGTGAGCCAAAATTACCAACATTGGATCCACGAGAAGCAATCACCAAGCAAGGCCTGCAGAAGGTCCAGCTGAAAAATTCTAAATGTGAAATTTACAGAAAACAGACCCAGCTTAGGTAGGTAGGGTCTCCTCAGTGCAATGGGGATGCCAAGTGAATACACTATGGTGTACATAAGGTCCACTGCTTAGAGCAGGTACTTCTAGGGTATGTTGAATGGGCAGCACTTTATCAGAAAAAGAACCAACCGGAGCCAATTGTTATTGACCTTGTAGATACGGGGATCCCTTGGGAGAGAGATTGGACTGATGCGTAGCATATATCTCAAAGATCAACAGAACTCAGCGTCAAGGTGGAATCCAGTGTGTCAAGGTGGAACCAGAGGTTCCAGGGAGCAGGAGACTCAAACACTGGGCAGATACACTCTTGAGAACAGCTCTATCAGAAGGCTGATGGACAACTGAACAAGAGGGGGTAATAGCAAGGATTACACATGAGAGTTAAAGGGTGTGACCTGAACACCTAAACGTGAGGTACACTGCCTAGGAACCCAGCTTAATAAAGAAACTGCCCCTCACTTGAAGTAGGGGGAATTCCTTCATGCAGAAGAGTTACCAAAGACATTGGAAGACAGAATCTAAATGCCAATGTATAAGAACTGCAGGGACAAGATAAAGGAGCAGGGTGATGTTTTTCCAACCGCTCCACTCATTTAGCGAATGAGTAGGGATACTCATTTACATAGGGAGAGGATCTAGGGTTCCAGACTTGTCCAAATTCTGACAAGTCACCATCCCCCCCAGCCACCAGACCAGGGTTATGGGACGAGACCCTTGTCCTCATCAACTGCTTTGCCAGGGGGATCCCCTTCTCCAGAGCAGAGCACCCTCCCAACTCCGTTGGTAAGGGCATGTGGCCTGGTATGGTTCCACATGCTCCTCCCCCGCTGACAGCACGGACAAGTCATTGTTTTAGGATGGCAACAGGTGCCAGCTTCTTAACAACCAGCAGCCCTGAACTGAACACTACTGAACTGTCAATACTAAAAATGTTTCAATTCTCGCTGCAGTAGGCCTGCAGTAAAATGACGTACAAAAAACACAAGTTAAATACCGCAACATTATAAAAAATGCAGTATTTAACATGGGCTTTTTTGTGAATTATACACTCCTGAGTTAAATACCATACGAGTTATTTTAATCCGAATAATCATGCGGTAGCAAAACAGTGAATTTAGCCCGTTATTTGTTAAATAGCGCATGGCTAGACCACAACTTATTAACCACTTGCCCTCCTGAGGATTTACCCCCCTTCCTAACCAGGCCATTTTTTGCATTACGACACTGCGGTACTTTAACTGACGCGCGGTCATGCAATGCTACAACCAAATGAAATTTACGTCCTTTTTTCCCACGAATTGAGGTTTCGGTGCTATTTGATCACCTGTGCATTTTTTATTTTTTGTGCTACAAAAAAAAAAAAAAAAAGACAATTTTGCAAAAAAAAAAAAAAAAAAAAAAAAAAAAAAAAACAATTTTTGACTTTGTTATTAAACATGTCCAGTAAAAAATTTTTTAAACAAATCAAATTTCGTCATTAATTTTGGCAAAAATGTATTCTGCTACGTCTTTGCTAAAAAAAAAAAAAATCCCAATATGTGTAAATTAATTGGTTTACATGAAAGTTATAGCGTTTACAAAATGGCGATATATATACTGGATTTTTTTTTTTTTTTTACAATCTCTTTTCAGTGAACTGACATTTAGAAATGCTTATGCGGCATTTACCAGGCTTTACTTATTTTTGCTGTATGTACTGTATAAACCTGCAGTGAAATGACATTTCCATAATCGCATATATTTTGGCTTAAATGTGTCACATGACCCAAATATCGTATGTGATATCCTTTTGTGCTTTGACCCCCTAGTCATTTAATGTTAAAAGAGAAAGAAGTGAGTTTGTGGGGAAGCAGAAAATGTAAGACTGTTGTGCTGACACACCAGTTATTTATGTGCCCCTGTTCATGAAATCCCAGCACCATGGGATTCTTCCACCTTCTTCTTCAAACCCACTCTGCCTAATTATTAAGTGTTTAGGGTCAGTCAAACCTAGAAAATCTGTGCAGGCAAAGCCAAAATAGGACCAAGGTGCAACACTGAGTTCATGATTCAGACAAATAAGCTAGGTCCACATCTATGCATGAGCAGTAGATGCATCTTTGCGATGTGTTTTCCCAGAGTATTTTGCATTTTTTATGTGCATTTCAAAAACGAATGTATGTGCGTTTTTCCTGCAATTCTATTTAAAATCTATGGAGCCAAAAACGTGCCTTGCTGGTTGTAAAAAAAAAAAAAAAAAAAAAAAAAAAAGTCCCTGTACCTTCCAAAAAACACACTGCAGGAAATTGCATAGATGTGCATTTCTGTGGATCTATGAAAACGCTAAAAAAAACAAAAAAAAAAAAAAACACATAGATGTGAACCAGGCCTAACTGACTAGGATAATGTGAAAGCAAAGTAATGACAATATGCCTCTATCAACCAAATTGTTTTTCCAGAGATCAATGAAAATCACCATGGTAATATCAAGCTCGGCTTTTGCCAAAGCTCTTCACACTACACCCACTATTTTGGCTCACCTCCGTGTGATGTTTTCTCTTTTTCTTCATCTTCTGCAATCATTTCTGCCATCTGGAGAATGTCTGCCTCAAAGGGATCTGATGGAACTTTTTCTTTGAGGTCTTCAATTGCATCTATAATTTTATCAGCATTGTCCAGAGTTGTGGGGATCAGCATTGGGACTGGAACCTACAAATGCATTTGATTTTTATATGCCATTTTCTAAAATACTTAAAAATTATCTAACTATTGCAACCCAAAGGTCAAATCATACACAGACAGTTTGAGTCAAGTTACACAGACAAATGTTAGTAGCTTTACTGCACTCGTGAAATCACTAAGGACCCATTCACACTTGGCATTAACCTGCATTAAGGTGGCCCAATTTTGAACATTATGCCAACCTACCAGACTAGACAGGAAAAAAATCCTACAGTATTTTTTCCTAAGTAGTGCACCACAACACAAGTATAATACTTGCTTTCACAAGGAAACACTCTTGGTTAGCTTTGTTAAAATAAATGCATTTTAGTAAACCTTTATTCAGGGACACACTTTGGCATGATTTTATTACATAGGTTCAAAAGACCCCTTATAGCCAAATTCTAAGAACAAGAACATAACAATCCACTTGTTCTATAGTAATATAAATTGATAAACAATTGCTTTTCATCAAAAATAAAAATTATCAGTTCAAAAACAATTTTCTTGCCTTCAGGTGATTTTACAAAAAAAGTAAACCAGCTGCCTGATACAGTGAAGGAAATAAGTTTTTGATCCCCTGCTGATTTTGAATGTTTGCCCACTCACAAAGAAATGATCAATCTAAAAAATCAAATGGTACATGTATTGTAACACTGAGAGACAGAATAGCAACAAAAAATTCAAAAGAAATGCATGTCTAACAAATTATGCACTGATTTGCATGTTCATGAGAGAAATAAGTATTTGATCCCCTTCACAAAACATGACTTAGTACTTGGTGGCAAATCTCTTGTTGGCAATCACAGAGGTCAGACGTTTCCTGTAGTTGGCCACCAGATTTGCACACATCTCAGGAGGGATTTTGGCCCACTCCTCTTGGCAGATCCTCTCCAAGTCATTAAGGTTTGGTGGCTGACGTTTGGCAACTCAAACTTTTAACTCCCTCCACAGATTTTCAATCGGATTAAGGTCGGGAGACTGGCTAGGCCACTCCAGGACCTCAATGTGCTTCTTCATGAGCCACTCCTTTGTTGCCTTGGCTGTGTGTTTTGGGTCACTGTCATGCTGGAACACCCATCCACGAACCATTTTCAATGCCCTGGCTGAGGGAAGAAGGTTCTCACCCAAGAATTGACGGTACATTGCCCTGTCCATCGTCCCTTTGACGTGGTGCAGTTGTCCCCTTAGCAGAAAAACACCCCCAAAGCAGAATGTTTCCACCACGTTTGACAGTTGGGATAATGTTCTTGGGGTCATAGGCAGCATTGCTCCTCCTCCAAACACGGCGAGTTGATGCCAAAGAGCTCGATTTTGGTCTCCTCTGACCACAACACTTTCAACCAGTCCTCCTCTGCATCGTTCAGATGTTCAGCGGCAAACTTCAAACGGGCCTGGAGATGTGCTTTCTTGAGCAGAGGGACCTTGAGGGCATTGCAAGATTTCAATCCTTGTCGGCATAGTGGGTTACCAATTGTTTTCTTGGTGACTGTGGTTCCAGCTGCCTGGAGATCATTGACAAGATCCTCATGTGTAGTTCTGGGATGATTCCTCACTGTTCTCATGATCATTGACACTCCACGGGGTGAGATCTTGAATGGTGCACCAGACCTAGGGAGACTGACAGTTGTTTTGTGTTTCTTTCATTTGCGAATGATTGCACCAACTATTGTCACCTTCTCACCAAGCTGTTTGGCGATAGTTTGGTAGCCCAGTCCAGCTTGTGTAGGTCTACAATCTTGTCCCTGACATCCTTGGACAGCTCTTTAGTCTATGCCATGGTGGAGAGTTTGGAATCTGATTGTTTGATTGCTCCTGTGGACAGGTGTCTTTTATACAGGTAAAAAAATTAAATTAGCAGCACTCCCTTTAAGAGACTGCTTCTAATCTCGGCTTGTTACCTGTATGAAAGACACCTGGTAGCCAGAAATCCAGCTGAATGGTAGGGGATCAAATACTTATTTCCCTCATGAATATGCAAATCAGTGCATACTTTGTTAGACATACATTTCTATTCAATTTTTTGTTGCTATTCTGTCTCTCAGTGTTACAATACACCGAACATTCGATTTTTAGACAGATCATTTCTTTATGAGTGGGTAAACAATCAAAATCAGCAGGGGATCAAATACATATTTCCTTCACTGTAGTAATGAATACATATTTTTACACTCTATTAGCACTTAACTGAATTATCAGTTCACATTTTGTTTGAGCTTGAACGAAGCCCAGACAAAAAATAAACAATATTTTGCAGTTTACTAGTGCTTAGACGCAATGGCTGCATTAGTTTCCTTTTTTTGTTCCTATCTTCTTTCCCCCCTGCTTTTCACCTGGTGATACTGCCAGTAACACACTTCCTGTCTTAGGGTGACAGCAATGATTAACTGTACTGTATCTACAGTATGAAGAAGCATTGTCACCCAAAGGGAGAAAGTGTATTTGGACTATAGAATATCTCTTGCCTCCATAACATGGGGGAAGGCGTTCTGTAGTTCACAGAAGTGAGCTGGGCATGGCATATAACACCATTTTTGAAAACACTGCAGAGTGCATAGAACAGCACTGGATTTCTGGCACCTATCAAAGTTAACAAAACACTTTCAGTGTTAAAGTTAACAGGTCATAAGGAAGCATATAATACAGGGTCAGTGTTAGGGTTTATGTACAATTTGAAGTATTTTAACAAAAAACACATTTACATTTCACTTTTCGTCTTGTATAAACATTAGAAATACACAAAGTTCTGACTATAAAGATGTACATACGTACAAAAAAAAAAAAAAAAGTGCAGGTCTGCTTTTGCCCTGTACTAATCAGTTTTACAGGAGAGTTCTAAAATTATCAGTCGACCAAAAAAGAAACTCACAGGTAGCGGTAAACTTAGCGGGACTGGGGCAAACTGGGTGTACAGGTGCATGGGAACAGGAACAAATACTGGCACAGGTACAGGAATCACCAAAATCTGTGGTTTTCCATCATCTTCTGCAGAAAAACACATAAGAGAGTCATAACAGATACTTCATAAAAAAAAACACCAAAAATGTCTTATCTAAAATTCTGAAGTTCAAAAGAGGACTATTGTATGGTCTATAACTTAAAGAACAAATTACATTTACATGATGCCTACACATAAAATGCATGCATAATAATATATGCATAAACTTATTGGTGGAAATGTACACAGGGTACCCTATATAAATGTGTAGACGTATGCCATTTGCCAGTTCCAGGAGAGAGTAACTGAATTTGGGGGATAGTTCAAGGGACTTTTCTGCTGAGATGAAAAATGAGTGTTTGTGGGTGGAATACCGTTCTATTCTCTAGGGACATTGTTCCTGCATCAGAGATAAAGCACAAGGCATGGCTGAGCCAGGGGTAGACGTACAAGGATATTTCTAAGAGTTGGGATGAAATGAGACTGAGGTGAGAATAGTTATCAGGAGCAATGCTCAGTCAGAATGTGACTGATATTCTAAATATTCCATTGGTGACTTGGGGATGGAAACAATGAGATCTACTGGGACAATGTACTGTTCAGCAGAATGAAATATTTGGCAAAGAAACTGGTTTGCTGAATTGCAGGAGCATTTTGGCGTTTGGGATGGAGGACAATGAGAAAACAGGGCCAGCAACACTGTGTGAGACGGTAAGACAGTGGTCAAATGGTTCAATTGCCATTATAGGTGGTTTGCTTTTTACTGTTCGACAAATATTCGATCTTCTTTCAATACATATACATTCACAAGCATCCATTGCTTCCGATCAGGTTTTAGTGGTGCAGCAAAATGAAGATTCTGGTGCCAAAACCATAACTTCAAGATGCACTTGGCTGAAAACCAAACCAGACAGTTTTTAAAATTTTTTGTAAAATTTAAATAATGTGGCTGGCAATTTTGCAATGAAGTCACTAGGAGGCTTTTTTGCATTGAAGAAGTCAATGGGGACGCGACTTTGCATTGAAGTCACTAGGGGGCGTTTTTGCATGAAAGCCTATGAGATGCAACTGCACATATTGGCACCTTTTATCCTATCAGCATTTTGCCGAGAACACTATTTTCGCCTGATTTTTCGGCCATGGATATATTGGTGCATCCCTAGTAGGTTTATACTGCTCTCCTGTTAAGTACATGCAGTAATACTAACATTTTATGTATATTATTGTTTTTCTACTCGTCATGAAGAAAAATAATGCGCCCCTACCAAGCTTTGGTTTCACTTGTACCTGTTTGACACTCCTTGTGCTGAGTGTGAGGTTTACAAGAGGTGGCCTTGGTCTGTGAGATTGGTTTGCACAGCAGAGCTTTGTTCTTGAGGAGTCTAGGGGGCTGTGAAGGAGGAAGCTTTAGAGCATCTGTTTGGGTACTTGCCTGAAAAAGACAAAATTAAATATTAACACATGCACGATACAAAACAAGTCACAAAGGGCTCACGTAGAACGTCAATTTACTTACATCTCCAATTATTTTAGCGCTCACAGTTGGAACAGCACCTGCACAAAAAAAAAACCCCACATTGATTAGGAAACCATACAAATTAAAAATGAGCATATAGACCCATGACATCAATCATGTTGGAAAAAGAAAAAAATACATTTCATAAATAACTTTTTTTTCCCTTTACTTTTTTTAGTCAAAGATATAGACATAAATTTGGGCCAATCCAGGAAAAAACCCTCCTCCACCCAACATGCCTGAGTTTGTAGCACAGAGCTTGACAGATTCGCCTTGAATCTAGGAGCCAGCTAAAAAAGCTAGGAGACTTTTTTTTTTTTTTTTTAGTGCAGCGTGGGTTGTTAGCACCCAGGACTTCATGAGATGCGATTTGCCATGCGATAATCATGGCAAAAACGCACCACGTTTTTGGCACCGTTAAAAATATTGCCACCTAAACCTGTGTTTTGAAAGCAAAACTATTCTCCAGCAATCCCAAAGCGCCCAGGTGTGAATGGCACTGCCTTGGTTCATACATGGGATGACAGACTAGATATTTTGTGTTCCTATTGAGGTTGTTCACACAGATGCAATTCACACTTGTTTTTTGAGTGCTATTATGAAAAGGGTACTCTGCGAGTTTGTAGCAGTGCGTCCAGACACACAAGTCAGAGTAGAATGGCATGCAGAGATAAGCGTTCACATAGGACTGCTATTGAGAGGAGTTTTCCCACTGAAGTCTGTGAGGCATGATTTCCCATTGAAGTCAATGGGAGATAGTGTGTGGAGCCAGGACGCAATTTCTAGTTGCCATGGCAACCTGGGATTTCTCGAGCCCTGTTGTAGAAAGCAGTACCAAAAGCATTAACAAAACACAAAGGAAGGAGGCCTGTGTCCCTCAATACACTGCAAGAAAAATAGATTATGAGTACCAAAAAAATAGAGTTTTTGCATTTGCTATATAATCCTACTAGATTGCCTACAGGAGGACACTGGCAAACAAACCCCCTCCCTCCTACCCCCCTAAGACTCAGGTTTTGCTGCAAAGCAGTACCAAAAGCATGATTGTACACACAGGTGGCTGGGACTTGTGTCCTTAAAGCAAAACTTTACTTATAAATTGATAATAGTCTTCATCAAGGAACATACATTTTATATTAATAATTCTGCTACCTAAATTAGTGTGCGCTGTAAACAGTCTCCAGCATTGTTCCTGTTTTTTCTTGCTGGAGGCTTTCATTTTGCGGAAGCCCACAGCACCTGAACAGCAGTAAATCTTTAGGCTGTCAAGACAACAGTTGAGCATGTGCAGAGCAGGGTGAGATATTGTATTACTAAATTTTAAACAGTATAGGCACTTTTTTTTTTTTACATAGCAAAACCTACAATAGAGTCAGCCTGAAGTGATCTAGCAGGACTTCATTTTCTAACATTCCAAACTCCAAGAAAATGATTTTACATTGAGTACTTGGGACTGCATGTTATGAATGACAAAGAAAGAAACAGTCTTTGTGTAGGAAGCAGTGGTTGCAAGATAAATTCTCACAGCCTGAACTATATCCAGGCAGTGAAGGGAGATCCCCTCCTGAAGAACTGGAGCCAGAGGGAAGGAAGAATGATAACCTGGTTGAGGCGAAAGATCAAAACTACTTCAGGTGGGAAGGATGTTCTGGCCATCAACACCCCCTTTCTATGTGCAAGACCAGAAAGGGGAATTTACAAGAAGAGGAAGCCAGGTCAGATAACCTCTCGGACATAATGGCAACATAAAAAATATAACCTTGTGAAGAATGGAAAGGGAATATTTCCGACAAGTTCAAGAGGTGGTTTTTGAAATTCCAAATTTAGATCCACAGGCTTACAGGGGAGCGAACAGTGACGCCACAAGGCAGAGACCCTGCATTGTGATGGATTTGGTAAAATGCCTATTCTGTTTAAAATATACATTTTATACATATTTACTTTTATACTTTTTTATATTTCTAAATATATGTGTTGTGCGTATATATATATTTTGTCTGCTGGGCTTTGCAGTCCTCCTTAACTTGTTTTGCTCAGAGCGATGCTCTCAACCCCTCCCTTCGCACTGAGAGGACCTTTTACTTTGGGAATGTGAGGGGGGGGGGGGGTGAAGAGATAACGATGTATAAAAGATTAAGCACCGCCCTGCAATAAACAGAGATGAGATGATGTGAAAGTGGTTGTACTGGACAGTTGTCCGTGTAATTATTTTCCGGCGTGCACGCAATCCATATCTCAAAATTAGGAACAGCACCAGAAATCCTACCCTGAGCCCGATTGTGGTTCTCCCAACCTTTTTAGCTGGCGCCCAACGTGGGGCCCCAGGTTCTGATCGATGGAAGGCCGTGTGAGGGACTGAGCGGCTGGCTGGGACAGACCAAAAGGGATTTGCGCACCCCTGAGAGTACGGTAGGTACTTTTTATACTTACCACTGTACGATTTGTTTCTGTCCAGCCTTGGCGCCAGTTTTGTCGACTTCCAGAGGTCATCAAGAGCGGCAGGTAATTTTTATTGCTCGCCTGGGGCTGTTTAACGAACCTGCCACTGGATTTCTGCTGACTGTGTATTTGTTCAATGTCTGTCGTCCTGTGCGACTGTGATAACTCAGTAGACTGAAAGATAAGTTGCAATGAGTGTCCTGACCAGGTGAGCTGTGGGCCCTGGAAGACGGAACCTTGCAATATGTTGCAATGAGATTTCTGACCAGGTGAGCTGTTGGCCCCTGGAAGATGGAACCTTGCAACAAGCGTCTACGGACGGTGACTCGGGGTTGACGGTGTGAGACCCCTGAGGGTTTAGTTCAGCTGCTGAGGCTTCACGGAGCGAGGGGAGGCAGGTGTAATGTCCTGTTCTGAGTGTATTTGTGAATCACTGTTTGTTCTGAGATAAGACAGAAAGCAGCGGAATAGGGATATTAATCTAATAGTTGCCCTTGCTGCTTCTGAAACTGTTAGCCGAGACTAAGGTGAAAGAACAGAACAGAGTGAGAAGTTGTGTGACCCAGAGAGGGGGGGGAAGATGGGTCAGAAGACAGTCAAGCCACAGAAAGTATTATTAGTATGTGATATTGTAAAAAGGAGAGAAGGAAGTGAAGCAGTTAAAAAGTTATCTAAAGTAGCGAAAGTTTGTAAGCTGAAGGTCAGGATTGGCATAAATCATTGTAGAACAGAGAGGAATGTTATGTGAAAAGGTTTGCTGAACGTGACAGAAGTTTGGTACAGAACTGGAAAAGTGTTGTATAAAGAAGGATAGTTGGAAAAAAATTCAAGAAAATGGCAATTGTATAATGTATTTGTATCACAAAATTGTAAATGGAAGTGTGCTAAAACCACCGTCCTATGTTGGAATGTGGGGTGGAGGAGGGGAGGGACAGCCCTGCCCTTCATCTAACGCCTACTTTATGCCCACCACCCCAGCCCTGCCCAGTACACTTCCTGCTAGCAGCCATCTTGCTACACCTGTGTTGTCACTTCCTGCCCAGCCCAGTGCACTTCCATCCGGCGGCCATCTTGGTACACCCGGAAGGCCTAAACAAGGAGTTTATCCAGTTCTCCCTGTTCTAAACCAGGATGGTTCCTACCACACTCCCGTTTTCCCCAATATGGAAGCGTCACCTTCACAAGCCAGATATATGAATGACAATGCGTTTGAGCCGAATGATCAACAACCTCAAGCAGGAAGGATGCCGATAGGTATGACTCCCAAACCTATGCCAGATGTCCAATTGAATGACAATGCATCTGAATGGAGTGATCAACAGTTGCAAGCAACAAGGGCGCCAATAGATTTGACTCCCAAACCCACGCACAGTGGAGCACAACTAAACAGGAACAGTACACAAGACAACACCGACATTCAAGATTAGCAGAAGGGGCACCGGTAATGTATGTTGCTTTTACCCCATCACAAGCAGCGGCCTTAGTGGCGAGTCTGCCTGACCCAGAGAAACAGCCAATACCCTTTTATCGCAGGGTAGTGCAGATACAAGAAACTTACTCAGCTGCTTGGAAAGACCTGCTCAGTCTATGCCAAATTAAAGCAGGACATGTTTTCTGGCCAGTTATGCAGATGGCCTTCAATGATGCCTGCCTGACAAGTGTTATTTCCTATTCTTCAGGCGTGGAGTTCTGTGCCCAGCTCCTCGACTGGGCAAAGGAGAAATTGGCGGATCAGACTACCATGATTCAAGACATCACCCAAGATAAAGGGGGAGTCTGTGGAGAAGTATTATGCCAGACTCATACAGGCTTTGATGATCTGGGCTTCTCTCAATATGAAAAGGCACACACACACATGCTCTCAACTGCTTTTGTCTCAGGGCTCAAAGAGGATATTAGAAAAGGTCTGATGGTGGCCCGCCCTGAATACCGCTCTATGAAGATGTCTGACTTACTGTTGGTGGCCAGAGGCATAGAAAATCAAAAAGGGAAAAAACCAGCGCCCCTCATGGTGGTCAATGACGAAGATCCCACCTACACTCGTCCACCACCATTGCCCAATATCAGGGAAAGGATCACCTGTTATAACTGTGGGAGACGGGGACATTTTAGAAGAGAATGCAGAGCCCCAACATATCCCAAACAAGACAGAGACCCCCAGGAAGGGCAGCGTGAATATCAACCACCACGCCCCACTCTCGTTAGGAAATGGGCAAACCCATGTCACCCCTTATGGCAGTATCCTCGAACAAGACTGGGGGACCGTGTAGCTGTAATCCAGGATATTCCCCAACCTAAAGCAGCTAAACAACTGCATGCCTTTCTTGGACTCATATCCTACTGCAGGGCATGGATCCCTGATGCATCGGTCCTCATGCAACCACTCTATGATGCTCTCAAGTCTGTGTTATTTACATTGTCAAGTGAGGCCCTGGACAATTTTATTCTACTGAAGCAAGCAATATCCACCGCTCCTGCCTTGGGACTTCCAGATTATGAGAAACCTTTCAAACTGTGTCAGGAAAGCAAGGCCACGCCACGGAGGTCCTAGCTCAAGTACATGGAGGGCAAACCAGACCCATTGGGTACTATTCTTGCC